CTTTCCTCATGAATGTGTGGTCATCAAAAGAAAAAGCGTCACATTGAGGAATTCCCCTGACATGTTTCGTGCGGAACGCACATTCTCAAAGGGATAAATCCTCTCAGTGGGACGCCAGATTAAATAGACACATATATTGTAGATGCATACAAGCAAGTCTACAAGACATGGTCATATTGGGATGACATCTGAAAATACAGAGGAGAAACCCACCGGGATTTAAAGCCTTGGGCAACAAGCGCATATGACGTTCTTTTAATTAGGGGTCATGGATGGTCGGCGAGTGCATTATTAGCAGCACAAGGTGGTGGAGCACGTAGAAAAATTGCATGAAGATTTTTTGAAGCACTAGGAGGATTTTTTTGCACACTACACAGTGTGGGACTTGTTTATTGATTATAACATTTGTGTATGTTATTGATACATAGTACTGTTTGGTATAAGTGTGCATCAAACCTTTTTTGTTTTTATTGCATTTTGGAGTGTATCTTCACTTTAAGGGGCAGCTAATACATATTATGATAATTTTTCACAAATTTGGGATTAGGTTAAGGTTAATGTATTTAATTTTTACTGAAGGTTTGTTAAGCTGCAATATATTACATTTTTGGCTTTGGGTTTAATACCACTTTAAGGTTTTCAGACAACTCCAGGAAGTATCGAAGGGATGAGATGACAAAAGTGAAGGCAAGTTTAGCCAGGATATGGTGTACTTTTTAACAAGGAAAAACTTGAGGTTGAGTTTCTAATGCTAACTGAACTTAAAGTGTTACTATACCCACAACAGTAAATACAGTCTGTATATGCAGTAAAGCATACTTCTTATAGTCACTGTGGAACCTAAAGGGTTAATCCTCCGCATTGTGTAAAAAGGCTGCTTGATCCTCCCTTCTCTGATCCTCCTCTTCTACTGTCCCCAATCCATCTGTTGATAGTACAGAGGTCTTTGGACACGTGTCCTCCAGAAACCAACATCCACAGGAGAGGTCCTAACCCTAGCACTGTACCACACAACTCTCCACTTCTCTGAAACAATGGGCTCCTAAAGAAATTTCAGCTGTCTTGTCAAAAAATAAGTGATCATCAAAGGAAACCACTCAGACGCTGTGCTCTACAAGCACAAGACCTTACAGCGTACACAAAAGGTGTAAAGGAAGGCATTCTCAGTGAGGTAAAATGCTACTGCACAAGAGAGCAGCATCAGCAATCATCAGCAATCATGAGTGGAAGGTGATCCCATCAGCTACCAGCCTTTAGTCCGGACCAACAGCTGTCTTTGACAACTCAAGTCTCTGCGCTGAAAGTGCAGTTAGTGCAGTTTGTGTGGTCGTAAAGGGGTTAAACACCTCCCTACTGCTGGAATCTAAAAGAATGGCTGGAAGGTGGAGGCGTTTTTTTTTTTTAGTTCAGTTTACAAAAATCACTCCAGCCAGTGTCAGGAATGACTGTCAAAAGTCTCAGAAGAGACACAATGTAAAAAGCAGTTCTGTAACTTGTGATTGTTGTGATGACCAATCACAGTAATCACAAATGTAAACACACTAATGTGTATATCTGGGAGCCTCCCCCTTCCTATTACAAATGAGGAAAAAGAAGTAATGAATGAATGACTTCACTCTCCTCTCCTGTCTCTGTATATTAAACCTCTTACCTCCCCCTATCCTGCACATTAATACCCTCCATTTTACATTAACCTCTTTATCGCCTCCTCCCACTGTGTATGACCTGGATCTAGTGCATCATTCCCAAGCTGCGTGTTTTATCCACTTCAAAAGCTGCGTGTTTCTTCATTACAAATACATTGTAGCAAAAGATGACATCACCTTGGGTGTCTACATTTAAAAAAAAAAAAAAAAAAAAAAAAAAAAACACCATCCACAATAACTAGTGATGCACCGATCAGCCCTTTAGCTACTCCCAGACTGGATATGCATAATTATTTTAGGTCAGTGACTCAATCCTTATTGAGCCCAGTTGGTCACTGTTCTGGCCAACTAGCATTTTCAAAAGAGGACTGTAAATGGCAGCCCCCCCACCATAAGTCCCTCTGTGAAATTTTGATTGAATCCTCTTGCTACCAGAGCTGTTTTTGCACATTTTGCACACTATAAAAAAATTGTTTCAGTTGTGAAGATAAGTTAAAACCCTCAAAACATTTTCTGAAAGCAGAGATCCTGGAGAATAAAATAGTAGTTCCATTTTCTTTCAACCATTAGCACAGCGGTTTATCAAGTACCAAGCAAATAGATACCCAACCTTACAGTAAGGAGGTGATATGTTGCCTGCATTAAAGGAGAAATTCACCTTTTCACCTTTTTAAAACAAATAATGATAAATGCACATCTTTTTACAGGTTAAAAAAAATTTGCATTTATTATTATTATTATTTTTTGTTTGAGCCTGGAAAGGATTGTGCCTGTGATCACCAGATCACAGGTGCCATGCAGGACTCTTGCACAGTACATCGTATGGACAAGCAGGTATACACTTACAGGAAGAATCAATGAACTACCAGAGCGCTCAACAGCACCGTGGTATTTAATAGAGAACTACAAGCTGACAGCCACAAAGGTTGTTGGTACTTGTAGTTGATTCATTCACAGAACTCTGTGAATGAATGATGCGGCGGCCGCTCTCTTTTCAAAAAGTGACAGCTGGTACAGGGAGCCAGCTGCTGCCCACCAAACAAGACAGTAGGGACAATTTTTTTTTCCCAGCCCTGAGTGGCTGCAGGCCCTGGTTTAGGTTGGCGAACAGAGGACAGTAAATTACTCCTTCACACCACGGTGCAGAGATGTCAGATGTCTGCAAGCGTTCTGCAAGGGCACAAAATCAATTGTTCTCTATGTGCCCTGTTCAAAACACTGGTATTGTGCAGATTTTTTTTTTGCTGCAATGTGCATAAAACTCATGTAAACTGATGTCTCTGACAGTGAAATATGCACATCAGTTTCTATGCACATATGGTGTAAACGAGCCCTAAAAAAAACACGGCTCAGCTGTCTACTTTTATTGCCCCCTAGCTGAGCATCTGAACAAGTTATAAGGCATGGGTGTCAAACTGGCGGCCCTCCAGCTGTTGCCAAACTACAAGTCCCACGAAGCAATGCAAGATTGACAGTTACAAGCATGACTTACAAAGGCAGAGGCATGATGGGACTTTTAGTTTGGCAACAGCTGGAGGGCCGCCAGTTTGACACCCCTGTCCTAAGGCATTCCTCATCTAGGCGAGACCTTCTCCCTACCCCCTGCATGTGCACAGATGTGTCACAGGGCTTGGGTCCTGAGAGAACTTTGCAGCATATCTGTGCACGCACCGGGTTCTCCAGCCATTGTGCACACATGGGGCTTCTCACACACACACGTGCAAAGTCTGCTACCAGGAGAGTCCAATGGACGCACCCGCACGTGAACCATAGTCGTGGCACCCAAGGGGGGGGGGGGGGTTAGTGGAGATACCTGGGGGGCAACTGAAGTTCTGCTTTAACCTCCATGGCAGTATTCCCGAGTGTAGCTCGGGATAAAGTGTCAGTACCACAAGCACTAAGCCTGAGCTACACTCAGGCTTAGCATGCAGCGCTGCTCCGCGATCCCTTGATCACTTACCTTGTCCTGCGCTCCCGCGATGTCCCTCCTGCAGTGTCCCCGGCAATGTAATCTGGCAGATGCCGGCATCCGTCTTTTGGGCTCCGTTCCCTGTGAGCGCTGGGACGTACGGGGGACAGAACGGCGGGAAATTTGAAAATGACAAAAAGTGACATTCACTAAAATCACATAGTAAAACATTACTGTATCAAACCATTTCACATACATTTTGTCCTGAGTGCTTTGTCCTGTGCCCTGCCTGCATTGTTACTGTTCTTTCTGCCTGGAAACTGAGAAACGTCCATGGCGTCCAAAAAGCGTCCCTTTATTATTATTATACAGTATTTATATAGCGCCAAAGGGTATGCTCAGAGCTGTACAGTAGCTCAAGCTGTACAGTAGCAAGGGGGACAGAACATGAGACAAGACAGTAACAAAACAGTACACAAGGGATTCAAGGGCCCTGCTCTTTCGAGCTTACAATCTAGGAGAGTCCCTTTAGGTCAAAAGCGGTTTTAGACCGGCTAGAGAACAGCGATAGTAAATCAGAACCACTTGCAGAATTGAGTGATAATGATTCGTGGGGAAATTCATCATCAGACACTGAAAACAATTTTGCAACTTTGCTCAGCAATGTGAGAACTTGGCGCTCTATTTCAAATTTCAGTGTTTTTGGTTTGATTATATTATTGAAATAAAATTATATTATTGTTATGATTATTTATTAAATTATAATTTCATGTTTCAAATTTTAACATACCCGAGATGTTTACTAGATTCTTTTACGGACAGATTTCAGTGAGTTATTCCTAAAAATTACAGGCCTACAATAAAAAAATACATATTTCCATGCAAAAAAAGGTACCGCTTTGAGCACAGAAATATGGACATAATCAGACCGCTAGGGAGGTTAAACTGCAAAGGAAGCAAGATGGGGTGTACACGATGCTTTGCAGCATAGCAAAAATGAATAGGGTCACATCGCAACCATTGAGCCAAGGGCTAGGATCACAGATATGGCGTAGGATTTCTATTCAAAAAGACCAAACACAAAAAAACAGGCCATCAGGACAGCATCACCTTCTCTATGCCTGTCAGGACTGAGAACAGCAATCCACTGTGGATTACTCTTCAAGGTGTAAACAAGCACAAACAAACCGTGCTCCCGTCATAACATTGTTCTGCCTTTACAATTCTAATAAATATATAAAAAAAAAAACAACAAAAACCCTTCAGAGCAGAAACATTTCACTGCTTTGTTACAGCTGCAGGTGAAGGATCAGCAATGCATGCTCCGGCTTTTACTTCCCCAGCACCTCAGCCTGTCCTGACCGGCCCTGTCAATGACATTAAGCGGTGAAGGTCAACCCGCAGGCAGGGCTCTCCTCCCGGAACACCCCCGGCTCCCCTCTCACCTGCGGGCTGCAAGCCTCGACCGACGGCGCCCCGACTAGCTTCTGAGTGAAGCCGCTGAACTTATAATACATGGTGCCAAGCTCAGGCTCTGCGTGGACGCCGGCCTGCTACAACACGAAGGACCTCAGGGACCGCTGCGTCGCCGTTTGATGACGTCTAGCCTGCCTTCCTGTTGCCTAAAAGCAAACAGACGGAACATTATTCTTTTTTTGTAAATTGATTGCACAAAATACATTTCAAAACTGATAGATATGTTCAGTAAAATGTAACGAGTCCGCCAGGTTGTGGCGTTTGCGAATGTGTTGAAAGATGTTTATCAGGCAGAGGGGGCAGACCGGCTGTGTCACCTTGTGTTGTTAGAGCCGAGCAGGCGCCCAGGTCACCCTGACAGCCTGCCACGTGATGGGAGAGCTGACAGTTCCCAGGGCAACAAATTCCAGGAAACAATAATAATAATGATAATAATAATTAAAAAAAAGGTAATTCATTATTAGGAATGCATAACTAGTAAATACATAAATAATAATACATAAATGACAATAGAATAATAAATGCTGCTGCCAGACTCATCCACATTACCAAGCGCTCAGCTTCTGCTACTCCTCTCTGCCAGTCCTTCCAATGGCTTCCACTCACCCAGCAAATTCAATTCAAAATACTAATAACAACATACAAAGCCATCCACAATTCGGCCCCCACCTATATTTCACTACCCTTGTCTAAAAAATACCAACCAAATTTTCTTCCTCCAGAGACCTCCTGCTCTCTAGCTCCCTTGTCACCTCCTCTCATGCTCGCCTCCAGGACTTCTCCAGAGTCTCTCCCATCCTATGAAACTCCCTACCCCAATCTGTCTGACTATCTCCTACTCTGTCTACATTTAGAAAATCCCTGAAAACCATTCTCTGCAGACAAGCCTATCCAGCCTACACCTAATATTTGTACTTTATTTATTCCATCAGCTCATCCCCCACAGTTATTACCTTTTGTATCAATTGACCCTCGCTTTTCGATTGTAAGCTCTAAGAAACAGGCCCCTCTGATTCCTCCTGTATTCGATTGTATTGTTATTTTACTGTCTGCCCTCACGCTGTAAAGCGCTGCGCAAACTGTTGGCACTATATAAATTCTGTATAATAATAATAAATTGTCTGTGGGGGAAGTACTGAATGGGAATTTCAGACTTTGCTCCTATAATGCAATGGTAAGGCCTCATTCAGAGACGTGTCTGTACCCCCTGATAGGGAGATTCACCCTCTCTACTTGTCCTGTTTAGTATTATCATTGAAAGTGAAAGTAAAAGAAAAATCCCACATTTTGGGTTGTCCCCAGAAAAGTAATAGAAAGAGAAATTTTCCAATGGGGACATTAGTTCTGGTGACCTGGGGGTCCCCAAGGGATTCTCTTAATTTACAGAGATTTCATCTCACTTCCTGTTTGGCTATGGGACAGGAAGTGAAGGGAAATCTCCCCAATGGGACACAGATGGGAAACAAAAAATCTGAAGGGTTCTGACCCTCGTTTTCTCTATCCAAAATGGAAAAAAAAATTGCTTATATTTCTACTTTAAGGGAATACAGGAGATTGCATTAACGAGGGCCAGCGGATTCTTGCGTCTGGAATGACAGGTGTGAGGAAACTGCTGCAGCCACTCAGCCTGTACAAAGCAATGACAGGCTAAGGCGAGCCGTGGCTGTTCACATGTATCGGCATATCCAGCTGTTACCTATGTTTAGGGATGGATGAGCAACCCTGGACGCGGACAGATGTATCCAGGGTTAGACATCTCTATGGTCAACCAGGCTTTTAGAAGGAGAACAGGCCAATCAGATAAAGTGCTGGTTTGTTAAAGGGTTAGTTCACCTTTTCCAAGAACCTGCGTATGCAGATAAAGGATGTCAGTAGATAAACACTAATCGTCTGAAACCCGGACACACATAGGCATGAGCATAGGTATGCCTAGGCACACCCAAATCACCCGGAGCTTGTGCTGAATCAGCCAAAATTGAAACTGTGGATAGCTTTGTCAGCACTTTCTGACTCGACAAAAGTTGATTTTCAATCAAGTTTTGTCAAATGAGCCAGGTGGAAAATTGTTGGCTAAACAGTACCTGCATCCAATCAGATGTTTGCACTGTTTGGGCATTCTGACAGCCCTCTAGCTGGCTGTCAGAATACAATAACCAGCAGAGGGAGAATTCTCCATCCATGCTCTTAGCATTGAGATTCCTCCAGCAGAGGGAGCTCCCTCCATCTCTGCTCTTTGCATTGAGTTTCCTCTAGCAGTGGAAGCTTCCTCCATCCCTGCTATTAGCATTGAGATTTCTTCAGCAGGGGGAGCTTTCTCCATCAGCAATTTTAACACTGAGATTCATTGAAAAGAGGGTGCTTCCTCCATCCATGCTCTTAGCAATGATATTCCTCCAGTAGTGGGAGCTTCCATCCATCCCTACTGTTAGCATTGAGATTCCTCCAGCAGAGGCTGCTTCCTCCATCAGTGCATTTAGCACTGAGATTCATCCAGGAAAGGGAGCTTCCTCCATCCCTGCTTCCAACATTGAGATCAATCCACCAGAGGGAGCTTCCTCCATCAGTGCTGTTAGTATTGAGATTCCTCCAGCAGTCGGCGCTTCCTCCATCCATGCCATCCTGAGGAAATCACGTGTACGTGAAGCAACGTGTAGATGCGACGTGGTGACGCACTTCCGGCAGAGCGCCATCTTGCTACACCAGGTTTACACAGTACACCCATACTGAGTGGTGAGACAAGCCTTCTTTGATCTGTGTTAATGTGAGTGCAATATTTGGCGATTTAACATGCTTTTAACATATTAAATATTGTTGCACTATGGGAGACTTGTCTTTTGTCCTTTCATGGCTGTAATGTGATACTCATTTATTGGCCTGCACTGCGTTTATCCCTGAGTGGAAGAGTGATTTATATTGGAAGGAAGTTACCAGTGAGGTTCAGTGGACTCAGAGCGACCTGGAGAGTTGGCACCTGTAGGATCCAGAGTGATCCAAGAGGCGTGTTGACCCTTTTGGGTCACAGCAAGGAGGTGAGGGGGCATGCCTGTGATCTAAGGATATATGCTCACCATCTGCACCAGCACTATAGCACGTGGTTTGAAGATATAGGCACATTTATTTCAGGTACTTTTATAGCGATGTCAATTTATACAGCGCTTTACACTTATATATATTGAACATTCACATCAGTCCCTAACCCTTAAGGGGTGTACAATCTAAGGTCCCTAACTTACATTCATATACTAGGGCCAATTTAGACAGGATCCAATTAACCTACCAGCATGTCTTTGGAATGTGGGAGGAAACTGGAGCACCTGGAAGAAACCCACGCAAGCACAGGGAGAACATGCAAACTCCACGCAGGAGGCGCCATGGTCGGGAATCAAACCCATGACCCATTTACTGCAAGACAGATGTGCTAACCACTAAGCCACAGTGCCGCCCATGCCCATTTTGGCAGTCTTTACCATCTTTGCTATTCTTGGCAATTTGTTGGACACTTTTTATCATTTTATGCGTTTATGAAGTTTATGTTTATATATTGTGTTTAACATTATTCACTAGTCACTTTATTTGGTTTATATCCCAATTTTGTGTACACTTTATATCCCTTATTTTGGGATCCACTGTATATAGCACCTAGTCTTTTGGGGTTTGGTCCCAAGTGGAACTGGATAGTGTCACTGTATGAGAGTCCGGGCATAGGACCAGCTTCATCATATGCACTTTGTGTACTGTTAATATCACAGTTTGAGACACTGTTTTTCTAAATCTTGATAGACCTATCACTTATATTATTTATATTCATTCATTTATGTGATTTATGTTTTTTATCTTATTGTGGAGTTTGCACATTTAGTTTTCAGCGCTACACCACTATTATATTTTATCACTTATATTTGTCCACTTATAGATAGAGGATAGGGTGTTAGCAGCATATAGAAATTAGGTTCCATATTAGCGCAGGGGGATCTCTGTCACCATCTAATTCACTGTTAATACCGTTGTGGGGAACAGAATTCCTCCTCCCCCCTGGGAATGAGAATATTGCAGGTAATTGGATAAAAGATAAAAATATACATTTAAAAGATATTATTGATAAAGGGGAATTGTGCACTTATATAGATTTAAAAAATAAGAAGGAAATATTCTGTGTGTTAGAAGAGTGGCGTTATTATCAATTAAGACACTTTGTCACAGCTCTCCCGCAGCCACTGAGGACGAGGGAAGACATGTATCCATTTGAACAACTTTTTCGTATGGACACAATGCGAAGGCATGTGACCACTCGCATAGATTCTTACTGCTATATCTGGAACTGTCTTTCCAGCGTTCTTAGAAAAGTGGGAAAAAGAATTAGGAACAAAATTAAATGATCAAAAAAAAAAGAGAATATTTAATTTAATACATGGCACAGTGGATATGAACACAATAGAAATGAATTATAAATGTTTAGTTAGGTGGTATGTTACACCTAGTGTGGCACATAATCAAAGAATAGAGAACTCACCTTTATGTTGGAGGGGATGTGGAAAGATAGGAACAATGGCACACATATGGTGGGATTTCCCCAAAACACAGCAATTTTGGCAGGGAATAATACAACAAATACAGGAAATATCGGGGATTAGTGTACTGAAGGACCCCTGGGTCTGTCTATTTCATAATACTGATATCACGGTGAAGCAATATAAGAGCTCGATGATTTTTCACTTAATGCGGCAAAAGGACTGATTCCTATGTTCTGGCAGGCTCAGGAAGCCCCCAAAATCACGGACTGGATAAATAGGATAGAGTTTATATACAGGATGGAGAAGTTGTACCATATGGGAAAGGATAAAATTGAAAATGTTAAGAATATCTGGGACAGATGGACGATCTTTAAAACATCTAGGAGATATTCAGAATTGACTAAGGGGCAATACAGGGTTCAGACAAGATAAGAAAACTGGTCTCTGGTTAGTTTTTTTATGTTTCTTTTTTATAGGAAGGGAAAGAGAGTGGAGGGAGAAAATAAGAGGTGAGGAATAGAATATTGGAA